CACCTCCACCATCCCACCCACCCCCCCCCAAAAAAAAGAGAAAAGAAATCACTTACATATCTGTTTTCTTTGTATTAGTAACTTACTGGTTTTGGCTACAGATTAGGAAATAATTTCTATTAAATACTCAATTCAGTATACACAAATAATGTAGCTATAAGTGATGAAGAAATAATATAGAAATTTGGGAACCTAAAACCAATTCTTTTTTTTTTTTTTAAGAGTTTTTTTTTGCTATAGGGCACTTGCGCTCGCCAAACAGACAGAGACAGAGAAACAGAAAGCGAGAAATTACCCCCAGGGGGGATGGCAACGCCACAATCCCTTCTCCTCCATTCTCCTCTCGGGATCTTGGGGATGCATGTACACGCGCTCGGCGTGAGTTTTAAGCCACCAGGTCTGGGACGCAAACTGCGGTTGACTATATGGGAGTCCAGTGACATAGCCATTACGCTAACTGCTGGCCCCTAAAACCAACTCTTACGAGCATTACTACAACCCAAACTTCTCTCTGCACCATGTGCTTCTCTCTTGATGCTATTCCTCTATTAAAACTGTCCTCTATTCTGAAAATGCTGAAATCATTTCACTTTCCTTTATGGATTTAACATCGATGTATACTTGTCCACATCCCCCAAGTGTTCCTGTTTATTACAGTGTGTTCAATTCTGTTTTCCCATGACTTGCTTTACCCATCCCACACTCAACACTCTTTTTAAGGTTTATCTATATTAATGTATGTAACCAGCTGCTTTTACTACTGTATTTTGGTGTGTGTAAAAGTCTAATTTTAATGAATTCTAAGTGATTTAAAGTGTGTGTGGGGCCAGCAGATGGTGTGGTGGCTAAGGAGGCTGGGTCCCACGTGGCTGACTGCATTTCAAGCCCCAGACCTAGCAGCTTGGAAATGACACCAGGCTCCTGTACTTACATGCGTAACCCTGAAAGGAGAATGGAGAAGGGACTGTAGTATAGCCATTTTCCCGAGGGTGCGTTCTCACTTTCCCTCTCTATTCCTCTCCAGTAGTATATACACCCTCTAGCAAAAACTGAAAGAAAAATAAAAGCATGCACCATTTTCTCTCTTGTGGAAAGACATTTGAGTTACTTATAGTTGCTGACTTCTACAAATGATTTAGGAACATTTTCGAACTCATCTTCTTCGGTTCCATTGTTCTGTTTCTCTAGGAGTGGAACTGCTGGATCAGGGTTGCCCCCATCCCCCATGTTCAGGTTTACTAGATAACGCTAAGTTGTTTTCCAAAGTGGTTTATGAGAGTTCCTATCACTCCATCACGCTCGCCTGCACTTGGCATTGTCAGTCACATGAGTTAAAAGTGGAATGTCATTCTGGTGTTAATTTGCATCTTCCTAATTACTAATGAAGTTGGATATGGGAGTGTGAAAAAATATTTAACAACTAGACATGGCGGATGCAGGAAGACCCCTACTAGTCCAGGTATTAATATCCTGGTGTGCAGAATTCTGGGCAGATAGCCAAGGGACCTATGTAGCCAGAGAGGCACTTGGTGTAGTGATGACTTACTAGCAAGTACATTAAGCATTTTAATATTTAAGAACTGGTATAACAATAAGCTAAAGGTTTAAGGGCAATTTATGTTTTTCCTTTGTGCAATGCCAACTTCTCTCTTTGCTGTTTTTTCTACTGGATTATCTTTGTTCATTCATAGGTATTCATTACATAGCCTGGGTACTACCAAGCTTTTTAACAGCATGTGGTATATGCCATATCCCATTTTGTCTTTTCATATGGATTAGTCCTTAATTTGTATTTATTTTAGTTTGCTGTGAGGTGTGTGCTCACCAGGAAGAGAGATAGAGGGAGAGAGAGAAAGTGAGAAGTCATCCCCTCAGGGGGGAGAACTGTGGCACAGTCAGTCCCTCCTCCATTTTCTTATTGGGGTTTTGGGCAAGCAAGCACAAGTTGGGTCCAGGACTCAGACTGCAGAGTTGGCCATACGGGATCCCAGCCACTTTAACCTCTGCGCCACCTGCTGTCCAGTGAAATGAAAAAAATTTTTTCTTCAGAGGTTTTTGCCTTAGGGCATGTGCACTTGCCAGAGAGACAGAGACAGTGAGAGGGAAAGTGAGAAATTACCCCGAGGGGCATGGCCATGGCTATAATCGCTTCTCCTCCATTCTCCTCCTGGAATCTTGAGCACACGTGCACACATGCCTGGCATGATTTTCAAGCCACTGGGACTGAGACTCAAACTTATGGCCATGTGGAAGGAAGTCCAGTGACATAACCTCTATACCATCTGCTGGCCTCCCAAGAAATTCTTAATTTTAATGAAGTAGAATTTATCATATTCTATAGTACTTTCTGTGTCTTTTAATATCTGACAGGGCAAGTATCTTACTCTGTTTTCCTACTGTAAGAACATTAAAGCTGTTCTTTGCTTAATGTCTTCTTGATACATGTTAGAGTCAGCCTGTGGATCTTAGGATTTTGCTCAGATATACATTTAACTAAGAGGATCAACTCGTGAAGAACTAACATCTTACGTTACTAAATGTCCCTATTCTTGAACATGGTGATATTTCTCCATTTGTGGTTTTTTACTTTTTTTTTGGTGATTTTGTTGTAGGTTGTACACAAGAGAGGGAGAAAGCACCCCCAAGGACAGAAGGCAATGCTGTAATCCCTTCTTCTCTGTTCTTTTCTTTTTCTTTCCTCCATTCTTTTCTTGAGATTTTGAGTGTGCATATATGTTCCCAACATGTTTTTTTCTTTTTCTTTTTTTTGGGGGGGAGAGGTTTTTGCTTTAGGGTGCACGCGCTTGCCAGAAAGAGACCAGAGAGATAGAAAGTGAGGGAACCGGCAGTTAGCGTAATGGCTATGTCGCTGGACTCCCACGTAGTCGACCGCGGTTCGTGTCCCGGACCCGGTGGCTTAAAACTCACGCCGGGCGCGTGTGCGTTTGTGCCCAAGATCCCGAGAGGAGAATGGAGGAGAAGGGATTGTGGCGTGACCATCCCCCCGGGGGGTGATTTCTCGCTTTCTGTCTCTATGTCTCTCTCTGTCTGTCTGGCGAGCGCATGCGCCCTACAGTGAAAATCTCTCCGAAAAAAAAAAAAGAAAGTGAGAAATTACGCACCCCCCCCCCCCCGGGGGGGGGAATGCCATGCCACAATCCCTTCTCTGTTCTCCTCTTGGGATCTTGGGCATGCACGCACACACGCCCGGCATGAGTGTAAGCCACCATGTCCAGGACTCAAACCGCGGTCGACTACATGGGAGTCCAGAGACATAGCCATTATACCAACTGTTGATGTTCTCAGCATGTTTTTTTAAGCCATCAGGTGTGAGGCTACAACTGCACAGTCAGCCATGAGGGATCCAGCCACTGGCCCTAAATTTATTTCTAAAGTCTACATTTTGTATTGCTATTTTAAACTGCACTACAAATTTTATTTTTACTTTTGCATTTCTTTTTTTTTTTTTGCTATAGCATGTGTATTATTTGCCAGAGAGATGGGGCCAGGAGGAAGGGTAGTGAGAAAGCACCTCCCCAGAGAATGAACACGCCATAGTCCCTACTCCATTCTCTCAGGATTTTGGGTACATATCCACATGTACCTGGCATAATTCTCAAGCTGCCAGGGACTTGAACCTTGCAACAGGCCAAGGGAGATCCAGCACTTTAACCTCCATGCCCCCTGCTGGCCCACGTTTTCATTGTTTTAGTGCTAGAGGGCGTATGCATTCAACCAGAGAATGCACAAGTACACATGCACCCTTCAGTGGGGCGTGGTCACAATACAGTCACTTTCCCCCACTTCAGGATTTTGTGCCAGGCATGTTTTCCAAGCCACTAGGGTCAGGGTTTGAACCAACGTCAGCCATGTGAGATATGAGCCCAATGCACAGCACTTAACCACTGCGTATGGGACCAGCTCTAAACTATTATCTTTTTGTTGAAAAAATGGCTTCAAACTTTTTTTTCTATTGCTACTATCAGTTTTAGACAGTGAAGATACAATAGCAGTATAAAACATTTTAATTTAAAAAATATCAGCATGATTACACTAAACATGTATTATACAACCTATGCCAAAGTTGATCTTAAATAATAACACTTGTGACTTCAGACTAGCAGGCTATGCCGGCAAGTTCATGCCCTGGGGTGGGCTGAGCCGGTGTAAATTTTGCTCGAGTATCAGCGTGGGGTCTTTACTCCACCATTGCTAAATCTTTCAGGCTGTGGCTTTTTTGTCTCTTGGCCTTATAGCCTGGACGCAGGAATGTTTTTGTCCTGTACTCAGGAATTCTATCTTTCTCTTCTTTGCTTCACTTTTATTTTTGTGTTTCTTCAGCTTTTTCTTGGCAGCAATATCAGGATTAGTTACAAACTTGAAAAGAGAACAGAAATTTTCGATTACTTCTCAAGTGAATGCCAAATCGACAGAAATCAATTGCATGGAATGGATCACCGTGTTCACCTCGAAACAGCACACACACAACACGTGCCCGTTAAAGGACTCTGGAGCCCCATGTATAAAGCTCCCCCGATTGTCCTCCCTGGCTCAGGGCAACACGCACGCCACAAACACTCCTGGTTAAAAATGGCTCTTGAGCCCCACGGAACAGGCCATATTTCCAAGCAGTAAACTTACCTCCAGTGCCTTCCTCTTTTTCCGGAGTGCCCTTTTCTCACTTGCCTGTTTCTGTACAGAGGCAAAGGCTAATGAGAAGCTCTCGAGCCCAACAAGCTTCTTGAGTAATTCTATGATCTCCTGGGATAGATTCTTTAACACAGGGTCTAATCGTACAGAGAGAGTCATGATCAGAGACAGTCACCTGGGAAAGGTCACAGTTCAACCTCAAGACAACCAACAACAGGGAACGTTAACCTCCTAGGCATCGTCACTATCACTTCAGCATGAGACACCGACCTGAGCAGGGTCTCGAAGATGGAAGAACATAAGTGCTGGACAAAGCACCCCTCACTCTACCTCATCCAGGACACTGGACACTGGAGACAAGAGGCCCAGTTCCCAGCGGAAACCTGGCACTGAAGATGTTCAAGTCATTTGGGAACTTGATGGAGCTGTCTGGGTGACCTCTGTCAACAGGCTTAGATCGAGGGAAGGCAGGATAGCTTCTCCAGCTCCTCTCCAACCTTCAGTCACAGAAACTCGGCTTTGTTCGTGGGAACTTTCTGTTCTGGGATCAGTCCTTTGAAAAGCTCTCTCCCAAAGGTATATAGCCCACAGATGACAGCATCCAATTTCAGGACATCTGGACTGGACTACAAGCTTCTTAAAAAACAGTGGCTGGCAAACGGGTGCTCATGGTGTGAGTGTGGGCTGACCTGAACCTCACTACGGCTTTTTCCTGTGTAAGTGACAGGACAAGAGAAGCTTTTTGACATTCACCTCATTTATTTAAAACGAAATTTTAAATTCATCTCGTCAGGACTTTAGGCACGTGCTCACATACACACCTGGCATGTTTTTCAAACCACTGGGGCAGGATTCAAACTACAGTTGGCCATGTGAGAGCTAGCTTCCAGTACCCTGAACTTAACCACAGTGCTATGGGCCAGGCCCTAGTTTTAAATTCTTGGCATTCACTTTATCTCCTCTTTCCAATACCCAATTCCCTCTTTTCCTGTTATGAATAATTAGGATCAGTGAGGGAAATGTACCAAATGTATCAGGCAAGGAAAACGAAGAAAAAGAGAACACATTAAAATATTTAGGGACCATCGGATGGCACAGCAGTTGTGTCGCTAGACTCCCATGTAGCCAATGGCAGTTTGAGTCCTGGACCCAGTGGCTTGAAACTCACACTGGGTGTGTGTGTGCATATGTGCCCAAAATCCTGAGAGGAGACTGGAGGACAAAGGACTGCAGCAAGGCCATCGCACCTTGGTGGTGGTTTCTCGCTTTCTGTCTCTGTCTCTCTGGTGAGTGTATGTGCCCTATAACAAAAATCTCTCTAAAAAAAACCCAAAACAACCTCCCTCCTCCCCTTTTTTGGGAGAAGTTTTGCTATAGGGCGTGTGCGCTCACCAAACAGAAAGACAGAGACAGAGAGACAGAAAGTGAGAAATCACCCCCAGGGGGGATGGCCACGCTGCAATCCCTTCTCCTCCATTCTCCTCTCGGGATCTTGGGCACATATACACACGGCATTAATTTGAGTCACTGGGTCCGGGACTCGAACTGAAGTTGACTAAGTCCAGCAACATAGCCATTAAACCAACTGCTGGTACTCTCCCTGCCATTTTTTAATTAAAAAAAAAAACAAAAAACGGTATTTTAGGCCAGCAGAGAGCATAATGGTTACATTGCTGGACTCCCACATAGTGAACACAGTTTGAGCCCTGGACCTGGCAGCTTAAAACTCATGCTGGGTGTGTGTGCGAGAGAACTGAGGAGGGACTGTGACGTGGCCATACCTCCTGGGGGATGATGACTTTCTGTCTGTCTCTCTGACGAGCACATGCACCCTTATAGCAAAAATCTCTCTAAAACAAAAAAATTAAAAACTATTTCATATAGAAATAATAATACATGTATTTTTGCCTTAGAATTCTTACTATTTAAAATTTTTTTTCCATAGGGTATGTGTGCTCAAGAGGAGGGAGAGACAGAGAGAGAGAGAGAGTGAGAGAGAGAGAGAGATACACATCACACACACACACTGAGGGAAAGTGTAAAAGTACTCCTGGAGGGGATAGCCATGCTGCGATCTGTTTTTGTCCGTTCTCCTCTTGGAATTTGGGACATGTGTGCCCAGTGTGTTTTTCAAGCTGCTGGGTTTTGAGAATCAAACCACATAGTCAGCCACGTGGGATACAGTCGCCTTAGCCACCACACCACAGGCTGGCTGCTGCCTTATAATTCTTAAGAAGAGAGTACAACAGGGACCAGCAGTTGGCATAATGGCTATGTCACTGGATTCCCATGTAGTTGACCGTGGTTTGAGTCCCGGACCTGGTGGCTGGGCGCGTGTGCGTGCGTGCCTAAGATCCCAAGAGGAGAATGGAGCAGAAGGGATTGCACCGTGTCCATCCCCCCTGGGGGATGATTTCTTGCTTTCTGTCTGTCTCTGTCTTTCTAGCGAGTGCACACGTCCTACAGCAAAAACCTCTCCAAAAAAGAGTACGACAACATGTTGTTGCTCATTGCTGTTCATACTATGAGGTTTAGAACCACTGGACACACTGGCTTCCATTAAATATTTATTCTGCACTTGGGATTAAAACATCGTTTTGTTTGTTTGTTTTTTGGAGAGGTTTTTGCTATAGGGCATGTATGCTTGCCAGAAAGATAGAAACAGAGAGACAGAAAGCGAGAAATCACCCCCCCAGGGGGCCACACGGCAATCCCTTCTTCGCCATTCTACTCTTGGGATCTTGGGCATGCACACACACGCGCCCAGTGTGAATTTAAGCCACCGGGTCTGGAGCTCGAACTGCGGTTGACTACGTGGGAGTTCAGCGACATAGCCCTTACGCTAACTGCTGGTCCCCATAAAACATCTTTTAGGAGGGAAATATTCACTTTTAGACATAAGAAAGTATATAGAAGAGAACAATCAAATATGATACAAATGTTTTTATTTCTATTTATAGTCTTGATACCTCATAAATTTTCTTTCCTTTTTTTGGTCAGAGAGCATCTGTACTTGCCAGCGATGGCCAGAGGAGGAAGGGAGAAAGCACCCCCATACAGAATGGTCATGGCGCAATCCCTTCTCTTCAGGAATTTGGGCCTGCATATGCATGCACTGGGCATGTTTTTCAAGCCTCTGGGAAGAGGACTCAAAGTGCACAGCTGGCCATGTGGGATCCAGCTGCTGTAACCACCAGGGCGCGTAGCTGGCACATGGTGGTAAAGGTGGCTGGGTTCCAAATGGCTGCCTGTTCAGTTGAGTCCTACGCCTGACAGCTTAAAAAACACGCCGGGTGGGTGTATAGCGCTCAACCCTGACGAGAAATGGAGAAGCGCGTGTGATGTGACCACCCTCTGCAAGGAGGTGGTGGTGTTGCTTTCTCACTTTCCTTTTCTCTCTCCGAGTACTTGCGCTCTGTGGCAAAATTAGAAAAAACTGTCCGAGTTTTCTTTCTTAATATAAACTCTGGTGAAAAGGGAGGACACAAAGGAAGAAGTTAAGAATCCACGTGTGCCAATTACTGAGGAGAACAGAGGTGGAGGTTACCTTGGTCTGAATAGGTGCTATTCAGTTCTCGGAACAAAGGCGCTATGATCACTGGGAGATACGGCTTCACCTTGTCCACGCCAAGATCCATTGCTACAGCGCCCAGGAACTTGAAGATGCATATCCGCTGAAAGGACAGATCGTTTGTCATTTGCAGTGTTTTTAGCACTCAGTCTACACACACGCGGCATTAATCTAGAAGACAGGGTCAGTCCATTTTGGATGAAGTTGTTGCTGCAGTTCTGGGTTTGAAAGGTCAAGTTCCTAGAAGCTGGGAGGATCATTAATACCAATGTAAAACTTACAATGGCTACTTTCAGTTATTCTGTGCCTTCCACGTACCTTTAAGGGGTTTCTAGGTGAATAAGCAGCTTCCAACTTTGCCATGCGGGACAGTCTTTGGATCAACCACAGCAGCGTGGCTGGCCTGCTGCGTTCTTCCTTCGCCTCCTCCTTCTCATCCCCGTCAGACGCCGCCTCTCCATCTGCGTGAGTCTCAAGTTCTTCTACTGCCTCCCCGGCCACACTGTCTCCTAAAACTTCCGGTTCTTCCATGTCCTCTTTTATCTCACCTTGCTTATTCCCAGAATTAGATTCCAGTAAATATAAGATCTTGGCTATGAACAACAAATGCTTAAAA